TGATGATTATCCTGGCTCTCATCAGCATCGGTAAAGGTTCCGGGGACGGCCACCCTCCGGTCGCCTCCTTATCCGGGGTCCCCAACCTGTTTGGCGTGTGCGTGTACTCGTTCATGTGCCAGCACTCCCTCCCCTCCCTCATCACCCCCATCTCCAACAAGAACCACGTGGGCTCCTTCGTCCTGGCCGACTACTCCCTCATCCTGGGCTTCTACGTGCTGCTCTCCTTCACCGCCATCTTCTGCTTCGACAGCTCCCTGCTCCACGCCATGTACACGCTCAACTTCACCGACAACTGCCATGTCCTGGACGTCCCATTTCTACGGTACTTCCTCGGGCTCTTTCCGGTCTTCACCATCAGCACCAACTTCCCGATCATCGCCGTGACGCTGCGGAACAACTGGAAGACTCTTTTCCACAGAGAGGGCGGGACGTACCCGTGGGTCGTGGACCGCGTGGTGTTTCCGCTGATCACGATCGTCCCGCCGGTGGTCGTGGCGTTTTGTACGAATAATCTGGAGTCGCTGGTGGGAATAACGGGAGCGTACGCCGGGACCGGGATCCAGTACGTCATCCCGGCGTGTTTGGTGTTCTTCTCGCGGAGACATCTGGAGCCGGTGGTGGGGAGGGACGCCGTGAACAAGCACCGGTCGCCGTTTAGACACGTGTGCTGGGTTTACTTCGTCTGGGTCTGGGCCGCGTCCTGCCTCATGTTCGTGACGGCGAATATCATTCTCACCGAGACCAAGACGTAAGAAGGAAAAGTGTTTGGTTTCATGGATCGTCCGCGAGGGTTCGGACGGAGACGGACTTTTCCGAGGATGAAGTCATTTCAATGGACTTTGGTTTCGCACTGATGCTTTGATTGGTGCATTTAAGCTGCTTTTATTGAAAATCCATCAGTATAAAAAAAATAAACTAATCTATATAATCATGTGGGTTTTTCATCTGGAAAAAAAATCTAAATTGATTTTTTTTAAACTTTAAAATTTTAATAAAACGGAGACAGAACATTTTACACAAATTCAACAACTTTTAGATCAGAATTTTGGTCCATTCAAATGTTTATTTCTGAGTCGGTGTCATTTTAATAATAATAATAATAATGCATTGGTTTTATACAGCGCTTTTTTGGACACTCAAAGACGCTTCACATGTCATTATTCTTTCCAAACACGGTGGTGATAAACTACTAATGTAGCCACAGCTGCCCTGGGGCACACTGACAGAAGCGAGGCAACCAGTCTGTGCCATCGGCCCCTCCGACCACCACCAACCATTCACACACACACCAGACTCATTCTAGGCAATGGGGGGAAGTGTCTTGCCTAAGGACACAACGGCAGTTTGGCACTTTACAGCCGCAGCCGCCCCACTGTGGCTGGTGTTGCCAGAGGTTAAGTGTCTTGCCCAAGGACACAACGACAGTAGTCAGTGGGAGTCGATGGTGAAAGTCTTGAGCGGGGCTTGAACCCACGACCTTCTGGCTCAAAGGCCAACGCTCTCTACCAACTGAGCTACTGCCGCCCTATTATTTCAAATCCAATCCATGTTATTTATGTAGCACATTTTAATAAACAAGTTTCCAAAGTTCTGCCCAGAGATAAAATCAACACATTTAAATATGCACAAAGTCAAAACAATACAAATGTGATCATAAAACAATAAACACCAGAGTTAAAGAATGTCAGAATGTAGTTTAACCCTCACTAATAAACAGATAATTAAGTAGTGTATAATTTTAGTTTTTTTACCCCATAATGGGTTTTTATGAAGTGCTTTTTAGTCCTTACTGCACATGGCCTTCGTCAACGTCTCACTGACACTTTCCCTGTGGGTTTGACTTAGAGCTAGCTTACAATAATTAGCATTTCATTATCTGTTATTTAGTGAGGGCTAATCTAAAATGGCCGTCCTTCCATCTTTCTTCCAATCCATATATTTTAACACTGTAAAAAATGACCAATTATGAGTTTATCTGAGTGACTGCTTTTAACAAGATTTTCCAACGGGACAATGAGCAAAAAATATAATAATAATAAATTAACTCAAGGAAAAACTCTACAGGAAATGTCGTAGACTCGCAACATTTCTTTAAATTCAGGCGAGAAATGTATTAAAATCTAACTCAATAAGAATTTAACCCTGAATAAGTTAAATCTGTTAAATGTTGGGTCTTTTCTCTGGTCCTTCTGTTCACAATGAGTTTAAAAATATATTTATAAATCATTTGCATTCACTTGATTTCTATTAGAATGATAGTTTTAATTGTTTATTTGGTTCACACTGCAAAAAATGATCATAATGAAGTCATAAATGTTGGAATCTGGTGTTTTTTCTTAATCTGACACATTCTGACTGTTCCAGACTCTCAGATGGAACAAAAACATTTAGTCTCATTTCAAAAACAGTCTCTTTTTAAAACAAGATCATTTTGTTTTGTCTCGTTTTAGGCTCAGTCCAAATGTGTCAGATTAAGACACATTTATCCAAATTTGAGCCATTTTTGACCCGTTTTTCATCGTTTTGTGTCATGAACATGTGACATCACCAGACCTCTGTATCCCAGTGTGAATGTACCCAGTATGTACCCAGTATGTACCCAGTATAAATGTACCCAGTATGTACCCAGTATGAATGTACCCAGTATGAATGTACCCAGTATGAATGTACCCAGTATAAATGTACCCAGTATGAATGTACCCAGTATGTACCCAGTATGAATGTACCCAGTATAAATGTACCCAGTATGTACCCAGTATGTACCCAGTATGAATGTACCCAGTATAAATGTACCCAGTATGTACCCAGTATGTACCCAGTCCAGTATAAATGTACCCAGTATGAATGTACCCAGTATAAATGTACCCAGTATGAATGTACCCAGTATGTACCCAGTATGAATGTACCCAGTATGAATGTACCCAGTATAAATGTACCCAGTATAAATGTACCCAGTATAAATGTACCCAGTATGAATAGTACCCAGTATGAATGTACCCAGTATGAATGTACCCAGTATGTACCCAGTATGAATGTACCCAGTATGTACCCAGTATGAATGTACCCAGTATGTACCCAGTATGAATGTACCCAGTATGTACCCAGTATAAATGTACCCAGTATGAATGTACCCAGTATGAATGTACCCAGTATAAATGTACCCAGTATGTACCCAGTATGTACCCAGTATGAATGTACCCAGTATGTACCCAGTATGAATGTACCCAGTATGAATGTACCCAGTATGTACCCAGTATGAATGTACCCAGTATGTACCCAGTATGAATGTACCCAGTATGAATGTACCCAGTATGTACCCAGTATGAATGTACCCAGTATGTACCCAGTATGAATGTACCCAGTATAAATGTACCCAGTATGTACCCAGTATAAATGTACCCAGTATAAATGTACCCAGTATATATGTACCCAGTATGAATGTACCCAGTATGTACCCAGTATGAATGTACCCAGTATGTACCCAGTATAAATGTACCCAGTTTCCTCAGGCCTTAGTCCAAACAGATGCAGTGCCTTTTGCTGCCAGCGTGTGGCGCTAAAACGTACTTTTAATTGATCAGGATTTAGTGTTTTTTCCAAAGGGACCAAACAGTTTATTTATGGCACAAACCGAGACAGAGTCGGACTTTTTGTTTTTTGTGTGTTTTTCTTTCACTTTTAATGAATTCAAAATGAGTTTCACTGCAAAGAACAACATGAGTTCTTTTGAATTAAAACGTTTTAATTTTCACTTTTTTCAGAATCTCTCAGGTCTCTCTCTGGTCTCTCTCTCAGTCTCTCTCTGGTCTCTCTCTGGTCTCTCTCTGGTCTCTCTCTGGTCTCTCTCTGCTCTCTCTCTGGTCTCTCTCTGGTCTCTCTCTCTGGTCTCTCTCTGGTCTCTCTGTGGTCTCTCTCTCTCTGGTCTCTCTCTCTGGTCTCTCTGCTCTCTCTCTGGTCTCTCTCTCTCAGTCTCTCTCTCCCTCAGTCTCTCTGGTCTCTCTCTGGTCTCTCTCTGGTCTCTCTCTGGTCTCTCTCTCTGGTCTCTCTCTGGTCTCTCTCTGGTCTCTCTGGTCTCTCTGGTCTCTCTCTGGTCTCTCTCTGGTCTCTCTCTGGTCTGTCTCTCTGGTCTCTCTCTGGTCTCTCTCTGGTCTCTCTCTCTGGTCTCTCTCTGGTCTCTCTCTGGTCTCTCTCTGCTCTCTCTGGTCTCTCTTTCTCTGGTCTCTCTCTCTCTGGTCTCTCTCTGGTCTCTCTCTCTGGTCTCTCTCTGGTCTCTCTCTGGTCTCTCTCTGGTCTCTCTCTCTGGTCTCTCTCTGGTCTCTCTCTTGTCTCTCTCTCTCTGGTCTCTCACTGGTCTCTCTCTGGTCTCTCTCTGCTCTCTCTGGTCTCTCTTTCTCTGGTCTCTCTCTCTCTGGTCTCTCTCTGGTCTCTCTCTGGTCTCTCTCTGGTCTCTCTCTGGTCTCTCTCTGGTCTCTCTCTCTGGTCTCTCTCTGGTCTCTCTCTGGTCTGTTTTTTGCAGTGTACGTTCAGTTAAATTCTGTAGATTTATGAATGAAACTGTTTTGAACTCAGTGTTGTTGTTTTTTATGCAGTGATAAATATTCATCTTAAATAAATGTCATATTTTTCTACTTTCTGTCGATCCAAAGTTGAATGTTGTCGATTTTGTTTATTCCACAATCGGGAAAGAAGACAAAGTAATTATACACAAAGTCCGGATTTTAAAGAATAGTTAAACAATCGGTGTGTATTTAAAATTTAAAATGGGCTTTTTCTTGGACTTTCCCCATTTGGATTCAAAATGGCCTCTTCTTCTTATTGATTGGATTCAAAATGGCCGCCTTTGCTTATTGATTGTTTAGAAGTGTGTTTGGTTTTAAGTTCTTAGTGTTTGTCGCTGAAATGAGCTGGAATCAGACTTGGACCAAAGAAAAAGGAACTTCTCTGTTTACTGTTTTTATTTTTATGACTTTATTTCCAGTGCCTTGTTTTGGGCCTTTTTACTGTTGTGTTTCTGCTTTGGCCTCCTGCTGCGCCTCCTGCTGGGCCTCCTGCTGGGCCTCCTGCTGGGCCTCCTGCTGGGCCTCCTGCTGGGCCTGCTGCTGGGCCTCCTGCTGGGCCTGCTGCTGGGCCTCCTGCTTTGGCCTCCTGCAGGGCCTCCTGCTGGGCCTCCTGCTGGGCCTCCTGCTGGGACTCCTGCTGGGCCTCCTGCTGGGCCTCCTGCTGGGCCTCCTGCTGGGCCTCCTGCTGGGCCTCCTGCTGGGACTCCTGCTGGGCCTCCTGCTGGGCCTCCTGCTGTGCGTCATGTGTTCAGTTTTGAAGTTTACATCCGTCTTTGTTAAAACTGCAAATTGTTTACTTCAGATTTTATAAATGATGAAAATAAAAACATTGATGTTATTTTTGTGTGAATTGTTTTGTTCTAATTTATAACTTCTCAGTGTTTCCAGAACTCACTGCAGTTAGTTTGTGTTTATAGAGAGGAAGGTTTCATATAAGGTTAGAGAAGTTCTACTAAAGCATTGAGAATTTCACTCTGAACCAGAGCAGGGACTACACCACCCTCTGATGATGCTGCTGCTGCTACTGCTGCTACTACTGCTGCTGCTGCTGCTGCTACTACTGCTGCTGCTGCTGCTGCTGCTACTGCTACTGCTGCTACTGCTACTGCTGCTACTACTGCTGCTGCTGCTGCTGCTACTGCTACTGCTGAGAGTCTGTCCATAGAACAACAATCAGTCGTGCACTGCACAAATCTGGCCTTTATGGAAGAGTGGCCATTTCTCAAAGATATCCATAAAAAGTCTCGTTTAAAGTTTGCCACAAGCCACCTGGGAGACACACCAAACATGTGGAAGAAGGTGCTCTGGTCAGATGAAACCAAAATCGAACTTTTTGGCCACAATGCAAAACGATATGTTTGGTGTAAAAGAAACACAGCTCATTACCCTGAACACACCATCCCCACCTCAGCTGTAGTTATCTGCAGTTCATCCAGAGTGATCATGGGCCTCTTGGCTGCATCTCTGATCAGTCTTCTCCTTGTTTGAGATGAAAGTTTGGAGGGACGGCCGGGTCTTGGTAGATTTGCAGTGGTCTGATACTCCTTCCATTTCAATATAATTGCTTGCACAGTGCTCCTTGAGATGTTTAAAACTTGGGAAATCTTTTTGTATCCAAATCCGGCTTTAAACTTCTCCACAACAGTATCTCGGACCTGCCTGGTGTGTTCCTTTGTCTTCATGGTTCTCTCTGTGCTTTAAACAGAACCCTGAGACTATCAAAGAGCAGGTGCATTTATACGGAGACTTGATCACACACAGGTGCATTCTATTTATCATCATCAGTCATTTAGGACAACATTGGATCATTCAAAGATCCTCACTGAACTTCTGGACTGAGTTTGCTGCACTGAAAGTAAAGGGGCCCAATAATATTGCACGCCCCACTTTTCAGTTTTTTATTTGTTAAAAAAGTTTAAATTATCCAATAAATTTCGTTCCACTTCACGATTGTGTCCCACTTGTTGTTGATTCATGACAAAAAATTTAAATTTTATATCTTTATGTTTGAAGCCTGAAATATGGCGAAATGTTGAAAGGTTCAAGGGGGCCAAATACTTTCGCAATGCACTGTAGTTTGTGTGGATGTGTTTCTCCTGTTGTCTTGAGAAATCAAGGCTGTCTCTCCCCCTCTACCCCCCCCTCGCAGTCTCTCTGTCTCTCTCTCTCTTAGTCTATCTATCTGTAAATCTCTCTCTCTCTCATAAATGTTTTTAATTCAGTCAAATAAATTCTGCTGAAATGCGGTGTATCTCTGGATCCTGTGTTTGCAAAACAAGTCCTGAATAAAGTCTAAATAAGTAATAAATAAAATCATAAATATGTTCTTACAGTTATAAGATCTCGTACACACCCCTGCTGCGTCGTGAACGTCTCTCGATAATCAATACACGACTGTAGTTTTCTTTTCTTCTCTCTTCTTCTGCCGCTGTCCTGACGTGGCCCCGCCTCCCGCCCATAAAAGGGCACGACAGGAAGTGAGAGTTATGGCCCCGGTTGGTATTCTTACGGCGGCGAGTTGTTTGGTCATAAAGTACGAGCTTTTGATGAATCTGCTCGGGTCGAGACGGAGGTGAAGAGAGACGAGAAAGAAGCAGGAGAGGAATCAGAGTTTGCATGTTCTGCCTGTGTCTGGAGGTTTGCGTAGCAGCGGCCATTATTGTTTTGAGAGTCTGTTATCAAGAAATAATGATCTTAGAACGTTTTTAAATGACATTAATATCAACGTTCTCCTGCTGCTGTGAGAACATCAGACTGCGGCGATAACGACGGAGTCCCACGAGAAAACACACTTCCTGCTTTTGTTTCTGATCAAACTCTGAATGAAACTGTTTCCTTTTGTTGCTTTGAGGTCGTTGCACATCCGTGACTTTCACATGATGCAACATCAGAGCCACTGGCGTCATTAAACATTCAGGCGCTAATCTCAGATCTGTGT